GTCGGCCAAACGCAATTCTTTAGGACAGGGGTGTCAAACTCAAATCGGTCGGCGGGCCGCATTCCTTACCCTCCAGATGCCTGCGGGCCGCACCCATAAAATTTCACTTAAATTTGTGCTGACACTCAATCCATGCGGAAAATTTCAGAAGCAGACGGCGGACCGGATGAACCACCTCTGCGGGCCGGATCCGGCCCGCAGGCCGTATGTTTGACACCCCTGCTTTAGGACATTGACGGCATTCTACAACCTAAAAGACATGGAATTTTTTTGGAAATTCGTGGAAAACGTAGGAAGACGATTCATGGAATAATTCACATCCAGGATAGTATTTTTTATTTTAAACTCGTCCTGCATGGCGTTTTTTGGATGTGAAAAAGTTATTGAGGCTTAATTGACGTTCACCGTCAACCCACCAATGCGGTGCGACAGACATGATACAACATGTAATTTCATGATATATCTCAATAGCAAAGAGGTAATAAGTAGACCATAGACTTCGGTGTGCAGCACATAGAACAGAATGCGGAGAGGGATTAATTGCATTCTGCGTTTGTAATTTACGATTTCTTAAAGCTAGCTTCCTTTCTTTGTAAGGAAATGAGACTAAAGAAGCCATCTGTCTGTGCATCATCGAGAAGCTCCCGTTCCCGTTCGTGACAATTTCACGCTTCAAACTTAAGAGAACTCGACAAGCGGCTCTTACGAGCGGCCTGCAATGCTGTCTTTGTTCTCGTAGAAGAGGCAGGAGTCCGGATCTCGCTTATCTTGCTTCACTGCCTGACCGGAACTCGTGGTGCGAGGGATCGAAAGATCGGATGATCGCCTCTGGATTATTCATTTGCGTTCAACCGCCAAGAAGGAGAACGCACTTTGCAATGAATGAGCAGCGATCGTACTCGATCGCGGTATAACTCTCCGATACTTCTCAATTAGCGGCACGTCGAAGGAAGAGACGGATGATGGTTCTCTTTCACAGTCGTGCCTGAAGACAGTCGTGGTCTGTCTCATTCCTCTCTATCTACAATACGAGCTTTCGGAGAGAAACGTACCATACCTCACCTTATTTCTCAAATTTGTCCTTGACATTGCAGCATTATCTATCGTAAAAACTGATGTGGATCACGGCACTCACAGCGAAGGAATGACCTCGTCTCTTTCTCTGCATCAAAAGACTTGCGACTAAACACAGCGATGACGCAAGATTTTGTTCGCACGGAATAAGGAAATCATTTCTCTCCTCATTTCTAAGGAATAAGGAAAGAAACACTCTTTAAACAGGACAAAGTTGTGAGAATCTGTGGCGAGACCATCTCGAAGGTGAAGTGTGAAGCGTCTCGGAGTAATGATTTATATTGAACCCCGGTTTTCATTGGCAAGAAGAAACAATCTGCAAGATGTGCTACAGTCGATTTGTTTTTCGTTTAATTCTTCGCAGATCTGTCGAAGTCGTTTTCTTATTTGTTGACCATCTTATCTATCTTAAATATCTCTCGAATCGATCGAATTGACTTTCTGCTTGTCTGTCCGTCTCTCTCTCTCTCTCTCTCTCTCTCTTTTCGGGTACTTTATTTATTTATTATCACGAGGAGAGGTCTTCTTTTCTCTAATAAGCTCTTGGGAAGATTGCGCTACATTTCGTTATTACATGATGAAATGTGAATTCAATAGGAGTATTTACTGCTGTAAAGTCTTGAAGAAAGGGTCGAGTGTGTCGTCATAGAGGACAAGTACCCACTTTATGACTACGCAGGATTCCCGCCATCGTACATGAAAGGGCGGTTCGACGACGGAGATAATGGAATTAGCTCTTGAAAACAGGAAAATCAGGATTAGCTCCTGAAAACACGGACACGAAAAAGAAAGTTAGGAAATTTCATTATTCGTGCCCCAACAGGGGAATTTATGCAACTTCGATTTCGACGTATCTCCTCCGAGTAATATAATAATTATAAATTTTCGACGTACCGAATCGAGTCGATTCAACTTCATCATCAGCTTACAAACGTAAGAAAGCGTGAGAAACCATCTAGTGCTTTTCGAAACGTTTCATCCAGTAAAAAAGTGATGGTAGTGGAGTGGATGGTCGCAGATCCTCGATGCCGACCGGGGACCATTCCGTCTCCTGGCATCCTCCTCCTTTCTCCTTTTCTTCCCCTTCACTAGTCATTCCCCTCGTTAATCGGAGGGACTGCCTATGACGGTGCACTCGAAAGAGGCCGATTTGCCATCGCGTTTTTACTTCGTAATACGGGCGCCTGTTTTTAACGAGCCGAAGAACACAGGTGGATATCCCGGAAACGACTTCAGATTTATAGCGTAATGACTCATGGGAGAAAATTGAACCATCGGCTAGTCAGCGATTTCGGCAACACTTTACGAAATGACAACCCAGGGGAGGAAGTGGAGGTGACTTTGACCGAAGGTCGTTTCGCATCCGTTTCTATAATAACCGGATTTCGTCTCCGTGGTCATCCACTGATGCGGTAGAAGCCACGTTGCGACGACACCGTATGCAGAGAGACGATGGCACGTGGCTTCTCGTATCTTCTGTGTTTTGGACTCTTGCTGATCGAGTTCACACCTTCACAAGGAGCAGGTGTGAAAACGATCGAAAATGTATTCAAGGGTATCCAGCCTCTCATTGTGCCAACTCGAAGTCTCGTGAGTCCTTCCAACTTCATGGATTCTTTCCTGTTTGTTTTCTTTTCCCCCTCCGCTGTCTGGCGAGGAAGACTACTAGGAAGGAGTGAAGTTAGATGGTTTTGCTCGTCCGCGTTTAGGCCATGAACTTAGTCGTCGTTATCGCGAATAACAGATTCAACTAAAGTCTGGAATGTAAGTTGTCGTCGTGAATTTTCCGCCATTCGGCTGAGGGATTCTCTGGAACAATCCAAGTCTCACCGCATGCACGGTGTTGGGTGCTCTCTGTGCTCTCTCATCTTACTCACTGATTACAGCATCCGCCCATAGATGCCGACGGGTCATCTGATTTGTGGGACATTGCACTGAGTTGACTCTCAGAGTTACCGATAACGTAAATTCAACCGTGGACGTTAATTGACGGAACACAACGTTTGAATTGGGATCATGTTCCTGCGGGACACACGGAGAGCGTCCCACGCATTAAGAACCCACGCCCACTCAGGGTCCCTTTACCTGGGCGAGCATAAAACGTGGGCCCGTCTTTGCAAATAACGCTTTAGAGAGGACGATTCGCTAGAAACATTACTCATAGATTATACCGGAGGGGGTAGCAAAAATTGTTTCAATGGTTTCATTTCAGATAGAGTACCAAATTAGAGATCTAGATAAGGGCTGGGATGAAAGCTTTCATTTAGTCCTGGTTAAGTCTGCACTTACCAAGCGTCCAAGTGAAAACGAGGTGGTTTACTTGGAGGAATCTCTCTACTCGAGAGTTGGAGGGCGGAATCGCGGGTTCCATCCCAGTCACTTTATCTCTCTGGTGTTCCACTCTATTTCTTATCATTCGTTTCATGTAAACTTTGTATATTTGCATGACAGTATAGGAAAATAGCACGAGCTTCAGTGGTGAATTAATTCTGAAACCTTGTGGATGCAAAAGAATTCATTTTAGAATGTGAGAAAAGTATCTTTTTGAGAACTTGAGGGGTTTTGCTATTTTATACACGATTATTCCGATCATGCAGTCTCATTGTTTTCATGAAACATAGTAGAGAATGCTTCCAATGCTAACAGCGGTGGAAGACTAGCAGAATGTAAAAATATGGAGATTACGGCTAGGTCCGAAAAAAGAGGAAGAAGACAAATTGTTAAGCTTTCGACCACGAAGGCCTCCATGGTGGCAATTGCACGTATTCATCGATAAAGGCCTTCCTGCCATTTTTACGATGACAATTTACCTCTCTATGCGTTACAATAATTCTTTCACGGTTAAGTCATAACCCACAACCATCCGCGAAATGTAATTGGGCAATAAACTTGAATGCAGCTTTTGAACGAAAGGAAAATGCAAAAGGGAAAATGCGCTATCGACATCCAAATCCGCAACTCCATCAAGAGGTCCTCTAATGCAATGGAGGAAATGCATCACAAACATTAAAACAATAAAGTTCAAATCGTTTTTACCTTATGTAACGTCAATGGAATGGTTTACATTTTATTTCAAACTGATGTGAGTTTACGGAACGAACTAGAATGTTTAACAATAGGATCTAACGTGAGACCCAGTCGTAATGCTGAATTGATGTTATCACACCACGATCAGAAGATGTATCGACCGAGGACTATCTCTAAATCCGTTCTTCTCGTTAGATATGGAATCAGGAACCAAAAAGAAATCCTGGAATATTGCCTGTTTGCATTCTGCTCCTCATACGGTTGACGAATGCTGGCCTAAGGTTAGGGAATGAATCTTCTGCCAGACGACTTATATTTCTTTTTCAGCCCGAGCCTCCCGAGGGATTGGCGTCTGGCATTTCGCCAATGCTTACCATAATGCTTTATTTGCTTAAAGCGACGACTGGCAGCCGTCTGCGTTTCACTGGGCTCAAACTTCTCACTCACGGCTTGGAGCAATAACGTACCGACTTTTATCTCATCACTGGTATCAAATAGTCATTTTTGTTATCGCTGAATGGCAGTGCGTCAGCCCATCGTTGCTTTCAGCTAGTTTCGATCGATATTTCGTGTTCCAAAGAAAAATTAAAAAATCGCATGCGGAAGTGCTTCTGGTCCATAGAACAACCTGTCAACGTTTGAAGATCGTAGGATCTATTCACCCTCGCGAAGCAGATAGCGATTTCTTTAAATTCGTCTGAAGGATCTCGTTTCTATTTTCTTTTGTTGGGATATACGCCTATTTGTGAATTCCTCGAAGCTGGCTCCCACCTCACTTGGTCATAGAAAATTTAGCTATCTTTTTTTTTTAACTCTCAGTTCGTCTCAATTCAACGGAGTATTACTTAAGCAAACAAATGTAATCGTCTCGATTTCAGTTGTCTGAAACCACATGGACCATGAAGGTAAATTTCCTACCATCTCGTATGAAATGAACTCTCAATTACATCTAGCGCTTCTCTGTGCAGCGTTGCAGATAGCAATCGCCTGGCAAGTGAGAATGCTCGGGGTGAGTGAGAACGCTCGGGGGAATGGGTTCCATCCCCAAATGCGGAGCTATTTCTTACTTTAACTTTTGCCGCACTTTCAAAGAACGAATCTAACTTTACTCCGGAGTCTCAATTTTTCGTTATATTAATAACGCAATTTAGCACCACTTTGCGTCAATGTAGTTTTACATTGGTGAGATAGGATGCAGTGTATGTAAACCCTGAAGCTTAAAAACAATTACAAGAGATGATGAGAGAGCTAATAGAGGTAAGAGAGATGCATTAGCCAAACTGATGATGTTATCTCATCTCCATCGGTTCGCCCATCAATTAGGAACCGATGGAGAATTAATGATTAGGAACACTGCGACCGATTGAATAATGGAGGGATTTGATGTTTTCGATTGCTGCAGATTCCTTCGCTGACGAACGGCCTCAGATCGTCGCTGAACATCCCGGGGATCCCAAATGAGGCGTGCAACTGGCTCACCTGCTGCCTGGCAGGGTCGGTGGCTGGTCCTTGCTGCCTCTTCAACGGACATCCTTCTTGCTGCGACTGCTACGGTTATCTGAGGGGGTTCCGCTAGCGATCGGCTGGTCGAGTCGTGTCGCCTTCGTTCCGTCCTTCAAACACTGCCGATTTAGATGCTCATGGAATTCGTGTGGTCGATAAAAACGTTCCTCTTTCTCAGTGACTACATGCGTAAAGAAGAAACGGTGCAGGTCTTGCTCGTTGTGTTCGTGTCGAGATTCCCGCGTAGATTCCAAGTGCGTTACTGTTGGGATTTGTAGAGCGATCCGGGTCACACTCAGATTTGTTTAGAGAAAATTTCAATTTAAGGTTTGAAGGTATGTATCGGACGTCCAATTCAAAAGCATTCTGGAGTGGATCCGACTCACTTTGCGCTCACAATTTCTTCTTTGCAAAAAAAAAGTGTTGACGTGTAATGGTCGTTCTGAAAATCGGCTTTGTTTGTTTACTTTCATACAGCAATCAAGAAAAATGCTGAAATGAACGATTTGCATAGAAATTGTGTTCTTTGTCAGTGGATGGTCAATTTGAATTTTAGCAAGAGGAGACGTTAAGAGTTTCAAGAATGATCCGGTTCGGAACAATGTTGATCGCGAACGAAACCCAAGAGTTGACATATCGTGGTGTGACTCGCGTGGAAAACGACACGCTTTTGGGAAAATCCTCAGAAGTTTTTTCATTTTCCATGATTTTTTCCTGCGTCGAATTCGAAGGATTCTTTTGAAGAAATAAAAATCTGCGAACTTTCTTCGTCTACATTTGCTATCCCACGACGCAACGCCCTCGCAGACCCAATATCGAGCAAAAGGAATCTGCCAATTTAACTGCACAACGAGCAGTAAACAGAGGCTTGACAGTTGGCGGGTCGTCTTCATCATGCGATGGCAGTTTTTGGTCCCATTTTCATGCCCACGCGAACAAAATAATGCTTTCTCAAATACAATGCCCTTACAAAAAAAAAATCCAATTGGAGTCAATGAGATTTTTTTAAGCATAAAAAGTAAATGGGATTCTCATAGGAATCGAGGATCATATAGGATTCATATAGGATCCGGTAAGATTCCTGTAAGAATCCTCAAAGATTTTTTTGCTTCAAAAATACACTGCTCGTCAATTGAACTGGATATTTTAGATTCTCTCGTTTAAAAGTAACTTGGATGCATTTTTTGCTGTGAAATGAATGACAGGGAATTCCTTTCAACTTATTAATTACAATTCTCCAGCATTGCAAGTTAAGAACATATCTTCTGTTTTTACACATTTTAACAATAGGTAACAGTAGAATTCTTCAAAAACCCAAAACACAAAATATTCACTTCAATTGTATTATCCCAAGTAACACAAGATATTCCAGCAACGTTTAGGAAATGTTGATGAAAAATGTTGCATCATCACGGGCACCTAATCTGGGCCTATATTGGCATTACGGAAAAGCGTAGGCTTCACTGGTCCTGAACTAGATCGATATTTGACCAATATTTAACTATTTATTTCATCCATTCGTACCATATCCTTTACCTCTCTACTCAGACATTCTCATCAACAGGACGAAGCCTGTACTTGGCTTTACCCTCTACCCAAGCATAATACAGAATCTGTATCATGTACAGGCAGGAGACAGTACATTTTTGGAGGTGATCTTCTCCTGTATGTGCTAAATTGCACAATACAGGAAAAGGTCCGACCACAATGTTCTATGGAGTGTCCTCGAGAACAATCCTTCGTTTCCTCAGCTGGTTCCCAGAATGAGGATATGAAGTGTTGAGATCGCAGACTCTCTGCCATCGTTTTTATTGTCCTGTAGGATGAACTCGTCGAGTTCTTGGAAAGGGTTCTTTTTGGGAATATGAGCTTTTTGTTTATCTTGACCCCATTAATCTGTCAGGAAAATGAGGATAACAGGTGATGAAGTGTCTGTGTTCATTGGTTCTTATAATGAGACAATGTGAGACATATGGCAAGGTACATTCCCGTGCGGGACGATTCCAGGGAAAGGAAGAAGGCCACTTGTGCGTACTGTGAGAAAGCGAGACTTACGTCTCCACCTCGTGGCAAGGAGGACAACTTTACAATTCCCAAAAACTTCTAAGTCCATGTTGTATCAGAATGTTGTCGCTACGTTGTCGATGTCAAGAGTGTCAACATTCTCTCAATGTTGATAGCAAATGTTGCAATGACATTCGTAGAAGTGTCGCAGCAACATTCCAAGTGAAAACATTGAAGCAATGTTTTCTCAATGTTGTACAGCAACTTACAACATAGAGCAACATAGGCAACATTTCAGAAACGTTTCATCAACATGCTGTGTTAATTGGGAAGTCATAGCCTTGTCCTTGAGGCTATGTCCTTGAGAGGACAAAGCCGTATGTTAATATCCATATTGACTTGACTATTGATTCTCCAGAATGATCTTACAAGTAAGTAATATGGTCATCGTAGAAGATTCGTAGCGTGACTCGCTCCTCATCGTCATGGGTGGCATCAATTTCGCACGTCTCAGGGTCTTGGTGTAATTGATCCTTTTTCAGATCCCAATCACGAGAAGGATAAGAAAGACACCAAAACTTCTGCTTCGCGATTCTTTTTCTTTACAAGCAGTATTAGTCGTTTGGAACTTGGGAAACAACCCTTTTAGTGGGTCTCCTTTCCTGAAAGGAAAGAGACCACTTATAGTCCCGTCCTGTCCGTCCGTGTGTCAGTGTGTCACACTTTGGTTGTCCGACGATAACTAAAAAAATATTAGTCTGATCAATGCGAAAATTAGTAAGCGGGTAGATATGAACAATGTACAGGCTGAGTTCGTTTTGTGACGAATTTTCACCAAAATTGGCATTTTAGCAAATTTTGGATGAGAAATTTGCTAACGGAGGGGAAGCCATGAATACCTATGAGCCCTTCAGGATGTGGATCACAATGCGCATGCGCGTACAACCCAGGTTTTGAGCGCGGCACCGTGTCACCAACCAGTGCTGTCAGTTCCCTACCAACCTACCTGGCGAATGGATCCAACCACGCACAGCCTTCCATCCTCCCATCATCGTGTCATGGGCACTGTTTGTCTATTTTTACCAAATATAAATGAGAAATGAGCTTTTTGATGGTCGAAGACCGGAAAGAGATATCATTTTGTTCAATTAGGTGACAAAATGAGGGTTTCCTTAACTGAAAGGAGGCCCACTACTGGACTGGGCTTGCCCAACTTGTTTTTCTACACAATGCGAATGAACTAGCGTGTCTGTCTGCGCTCGCATTGTTAACTGGACCGGGCTGGACCGAGTCCGACCCTGTGGGGAGGAAGCAGTTGGGCAAAACGGGTTGAGGGATGCATGGCCTCTGTGGTGGGCGCACAATCCATTCAATCACATTAATTTTTTTTAAAGTATCATCTGTACATGTTGGATGTGGGATCCCTTGCCGGCGTCGAAAAGGACATTCTGCCAAGTCTGCTGGCTGGTGTCTGCTACCCTCTATTCACTGGGAGCTTAACGACTTAACTTAAGCCTGATTAACTCGAGCGCGTTCGGGCAAAGACACGACAAAGCAAGGACTAGTGGATCCACGAGCCAGAGATGATCGAGTGCAACTCGTTACGTTGACGACGCGAACAACTTACTGGTTGGAAAAAATTGGTGCCGCTCTCGAAAAGAGGGAAACAAAGTCTGGAAATTATATTTAAAAATCATCATTCCAAGATCCTCGACGGCTACAGGTCGAAGATAATCACCCATATTTGGACAAAAAAAAAAACCTGAATTTCATTATAATTTTCCTCGATGTGTTTGGAATTGATGAGGCCTGTTGGGGGAAAGAGGGTCGAAAGTCCTGCCATGTGACAGGACTTGCGACTCTCTTTCATTAGGGAATACGGCGTCCCTTAGTACGTAGGCAAAGAGGTGCTCTTAAGGGCATAAGACGATGTACCTAAATAGCGAAAAAAAAAAGAGCCGTCGTCGGCGAGAGACGTACAAAGTTCCTCTTGAAGACTGACAAAAACGTAACTACTTAAGCATGCTTTATTGGACCCACACGTCAATCACCTTTCTGCGATTGCATTTAAAATTGACGGAGATCCGAAAATTCATTATCTGAACAAATTATAAAGCCTCAAAGAGCAGCAAATACTATCGCTCGTTATTCTACCACCTCGAAATTAATTTTTCATTTTTAAATTGAAATAAAGCTTGGTTTGAAATGTATGTGTCGTGGTGTTTGCTGGATTTTAGGAGAATTTGAAATATCCCTTGTGAGAGGCAGAATTTTGGTGAACCCGCGGGCTGAGTGAAATCGTCTGAATGTCGCATGAATGTAAACACACCCAAGGGAGATTCGGAATTTACCTGACTCAATATTTCTCCTTCCCACGGCTTGACTTGCCTCGCCGCTGGCAATTATCTTTCCGTGAGCAGACGGCTGATGCCTGCCTTTGCTTAACACTTTCGGGCCGGGGTATTTAAAAAGGTTCTTGTTGGGGCCGGAGGTTTTTCGAAAAATTCCCGATTTTTTTTTACAGACCCAAGTGAACTCCGATTTTCATGGATCATGGTATTTTGAAACCTCCACTTTTAGCCAAACAACCAATCAACACAATAAATGACGTATATGGGTTTATCGAAATTCTATATCCCCCAAGGAGTATTCTGAATCCCCTTTGAATTCCACTAAGCCCCGAAACACACACACACACACGCATAAAGATTCCGAGAAACTACTATCCGCACATCGCAAACATTTGTGGGTACATATTAGGGCTGTACCGATGACCACAGTAGATCGATGGCTGATTATTATCTCATACCTATCGGCCGGTGCCAGTGCCCATTATGACGTATAGAGAAACAGTGAAGAATCATTATATTAAATATTTATTTAAATTGACCCATTAGGAAGCCATGTTCAATTTTTTGTTGGGCTGCCACGCTGGATGTTTCAAAGCATCGATGAATCGACCTAAAACATCGATAATGCAACGACTCACCCCAGAGGGGGGGGAGGATGCTGGCGGATTCAGTCCTTCCTCGCTGCGATCGGGTAGAGGTTTCTCTACTGTCGTTTCTTGCCTTCGGTGGATCGGGGAGCATACCTCTCTGTATTCCATAATCTCTCGCCTGTTATTGGGTTATCGGGGAGTGGGGGGAGGTGTGACCTTCGTGACTGGTAATAAAGCCTACTATGCCTCCAACTATCGAAAATGACATCCATTCATCAATTTATGCATCGGGATAACTCAAAACTTTCCTTATTACAGTTGAGAATCAGTTGCCAAGTTCACGTTTTTCTTTTTCTTTTTCTTCATCCTCCACGTTCTTCTTTGGACATCGACACCGGTAGCTTGCAAACCGGTCGATGGTCGATGGTGCCATTCCGGCGGCCGATAGCGGTGCTTGCCGATACATCGGTACAGTGACTGATTTCATTTGGTGCATACCACAAATCAGTTTAACGATGAGTTCAACTCATTCTTCAACACATATGTTTGGTATCAGATCAGTTCAGCTTCTGAACAGATGTGGTGCACGTCACCCTATGTCTCGAGGAGGAGGTAGATGGTAGATTGTAGATGGTCGTTGGCAGGAGATAAACAAGGTGAAAGGGAAAGCGCGGAGTCAGAGCGATCGTTCGGAGGAAGAGCTGAAGGAAGGGATCTTTGGGCTGGTGCATCGTGGCCGCGAGCGCGTTGGGATTCCTCTGAGGCTTCCCAAAAAAAAAAAACAAGTCTTTCCCCAGCAGAGAGTGACATCTGGTCCTTT